GAGGAAAGGTCGCCGGGAAAGCGAAAAGTCATCGAAAAAGGTAAAACCCGAACCTTTCTGTTTAGATCTACACGAAGGAAAACGGTTTTAGGGAATTTGGGTTGTGATTTAGGGTTTATCAGGGTGAGAGAAATATTTTGGTGTTGTTTGATTTTTTCGGCCACCGGGGGTGGTGGCCGGCGGGGTAGAGCAACGTCAGTTATGGGCACCGACGGGTGGCCGGTCGAAGCTTGAGTGGAGAGTGCTTGAGAGGATTTGAAATGAGAGCTTTGGTGATAATGTTTTCAAATGAGCTTGAAAATAAGTTTTTGGGTATTTATATACCAGTGACCTTAGTGTATTTATGAAATATTTAAATTATTTTCGCAGACCCTGTAGTTTCGATACTTAATTCGTTTTGGTCACCTATTGTAAATTGGTTCTGGAATTTCAAATTTATTCAATTTAATCAATGTTTAAATTTATTATATTTTGCAATTCAGCCCCTTAACATTTTTTTTCTCTTGCAGCTCATTTTTAGTATTAATTAAATCCATAAATTTCAATTTATTTTAATTTGATCCTTTTTATTTTTTATCTATTCATTGATTCTTTTTTTAAAATTTTAACATTTTTAAGCACTTTTTTATATTTTCTCATTTAGCATTTTTCTTATATTTTTTATTTCTCTTAAATTTTTCTTTTTTATTATTTTTTTCTTCTCTTTTAAAGGTTTAATATTTTTTATTTTATTGATTTTATTTCATGTTTTTCCTTTTTTTTAAAATATTTTTAAACATTTTTTCCTTATTTTCTTAATCTAACCCTTTTTGTTCTTCTCCTATATTTATTTAATATTTTATTTTACAATCTAACATTTTTTTGACTTTTTAGGAGTAATTTCAATCGATCAAAGGTAACCAATTCGAATCGTCAATTTAGCTTTTTATTTTCGCAATTAAGACAGGTAAGAAATTAAAATGGTACCGAAAGGGAAGTACAATGGTGTTAATCCTTCTTTAACTATAACTGACTTTCGAATCCAACATATTCCTGGTAAAACGTAGATCATGTAAGATGGTAAAATAAGGTGACCGATCAACCTAGTTTTTAAAAAAATGATTGGTGGCGGCTCTAACATGCTTTATTTAAGTCAAAGCCCAATTTTGGGCCCACTCGAAGAACGATTACGACACCCCCAAAAAAGAGTAAGTAGTGTTGAATCGGCGGTAAGAAATCCTGTTAGTCTTCCACAAGTGATTATGGATCCAGACCTGAAGAAGTTGTGTGCACCCTATAAATCTTCCTCCCTCAGTCTTTCTGCAATGGTTCAGTGAACGAAATATTTCAGCTAATATTGATGGTGCAGGGTTTACTCGCTTCGGTTGTTGTTCAAACAGTTACAGTACAGCCGCCTCGATGTATCCCAAAGTTTTTGGGAAGATAACCAAGCCGTAGATACCTAGTGCAAAAAGGCCAATCACCTTCCATTCATTTGGATGATTCTTCATTAATTTCTTGATATGGGTCCAAGCAATTCTCTCTTCTTTACCCTTGTGCTGAATTCATTCAGTTACCCACTTTTCATCTACCCCTGTAACCTTTGCCAACCCATTCCTAAACACATAATTGCCTTGCAAATTGTCTCCCTTTTCCTTTTGAGTCTTCTCTGACCATAGTCGGACCTGTGCGTTTTTCACCTCTTGTATTACAACCCCTTTATCCATTAATGCCAATTATTTGTGTTTAACGAACACTTTTTTATGGATCAATCACCCCTTTAAAAAGATGCGAATGAAAAAATAAAAGAAAACAAAAAATGAAAGGGAAACAAGTTAGTAAGATAAAAATAACAATCAAAATAATAACAAAAATAAAAATTCCTACCCCATGCTTTTATTCTTACCTAGGAATGATTTCTATCCTGCATGTTAATTTTTGAGCAAGTCCTAACGGTATATTTTTCTAGTTCGCATGCTTTGAACAAAAAATAAAACAGGAAATAACTCGAGCATCCTAGGTTTTGAAATGGAGTTTCGGGGTGGGCTCTAATTCCTTATAGTTTCTCGATTTAGGTTCTAAAAAAAAGGTACCCAAGTTCTCCTTGCTGATGCCCTCAGTCCTAAGCCCGTTACAAGCTTATGTGAACCAAGTTAAACTCGAGAGGACGCATTCCCTTATGTCTGTAAGGAGAATAAATTCCCACGAAGACATAAGGTATATGAATCCCGAAGGTTACTTGCTACGCCTGTACGGAGAATAAATTCTCACGAAGGTGTCGCTTTCACCTCCACTTACGAAAAGGTCTGGATCTCGGGTATAGAGCTTGAGAGAAATTTTAAAAAGCTAAAACCATTGAAAAACATCAGTACAACTATTTATTGGAAAAAATATCAAAGATAAATAACAAGGATCGAATAGATAAATTAAAATTTAAACTCGTAATTTTCGCTTAAGAAGACAACCGTAAATTAATTTTGTTCTGACTCACTTACTTGTCCCCAGCAGAGTCGCCAAGCTGTCGTAGCCATTCTTCGGGTGGGCCCAAAATTAGGTTTCGACTAAAATAAAACATGTTACAGCCGTCACCAATCATTTATTATTACAGTCAATGAAGGATTAGCACTCTTGCAGTGCCCTTTCGGTACCAATTTAATTTTCCGGTTATCTTAATTGCGAAAATTAAAAGATAAATTGAAATTTAAAAGTTTAACCCAAACTACTTACCATTGAAGGATTTCAAATTGACCTAAAAATATAAATCAAATCAGTTTTAATTAATAAAGTAAAACAAAATTAAATTAAGAAAATATAAAGTAAAAGAAAACTTTAAATTAAAAGGGTTTAATTGCAACAAATTTAAAATTAAGGACCAAATTGACAACATTTGGATATTGCAAGAAGAAATAAAAAGTCAGGAGGGTCAATTTGCGAAATATAAGAAAATTGTACAAGGATTAAATTTAATAAATTCGAAATTCATGGGAAAATTTACAAAAAGTAACCAAAATGAATTACACATCAAAAGTTCAGGGATTGCGAAAATCATTAAACTATTTGCTAATTACCCTTCAGTCCCCTATAAATACCCCTCAAATCCTAAAAAAAATCATTTCAACCCCATTTCTTAAATATCTATTCCCTTCTCTTCTAAATTGTCTCAACCCAAGCCAATCGGTCGAATGGCCAGCCACCATTCCTAATCACGCACCGCTGCCCGGCCACTACTCCGGCCACCGTCACCAGTAGCCAGAATCCTAGGGGTTACCCGAAAATGCTCCTTTACGTCCCGAACCGGAGCCCCAAATTCCCTAAAAAAACCCTCAAACGACATAGATCTACATTTAAAGTTTCGACTTTACCTTTACTGATGGTGACTTTTCGACTCTCTTGTGACTCTTCTCCTTTCGACGAGGCCTCTGTGAGTTCCCGGAGTTTCTTGACGAGACAAAGCCTCCAGCTTTGTTTTTTTTTTTTTGCTTTCAATTTCGAACTTTTTTCCTTTGGGTTTCTATATTTAGTACACAGTTTTTTTTGTGTTCTTCACTTTGATGATGTTCGTGATTTTTTGGTATTTTTGTGATTTCCTCCGTATGTTTTTATTGGTTGCTTGATCAGTTTTTTGCCTCGTCTTGTTGTCTTTGTTGCATGGTCGGAGGCTTTTATAGCCTCGTAACCGATCATTGTGGTCCCGAATATTTCGGGGTGTTGTTGATTCTTCCAGGGTGGTTCAGTCACGTTCGAAAACGTTGGTTGTTGGTACGGTCGGAAAGCTCGGGATGGGTCAGTCCTGGGTTGTTCGATCGAAAATCCCGCTGGTTATTGGCGTGTGGCCTCCACTCGCGCTACTTGCTTTCTCTCGTGCGGCACCCCTGATTAACATGGAACCCTAACTCTTTGTTGGGCTTACCAGGTCGGTTGCCTGGGTCAGGCCTACCTACTCGATCTGCTAGGCCCCTTGGACTGCTGGACCTGGACCTTGACCTTGACCGAAAAAATAAAATATAAAAATAAATAAATTAAAAATGAAATAAATAAATAATAATATGTAATAATAAAAACTATATTATATTATATGTTTTAAACTTTTTTTAAAACATTCATTTTCAAAATCCTTTAAAAACCATATATTATACGTTTTCAAAACCATTTCGAAAAATATATTATATATGTTTTCAAAACCATTTTTAAAACTATACATTATACGTTTTCAAAATTATTTTAAAAACTCTATACTATATGTTTTCAAAACTGTTTTAAAAACTATATATTATACGTTTTAAAAAATAAGTTTTCAAAAACTATATATTATATATTTAAAAAAAAACTATATTTGAAATTATTATATATACTATGCTATATAAAAAAGACCTCGGGGAAAATTAGTGTCTACAAAGTGTTAATTAATTTTCAAACTCTAACTTCCAAATAAAACAAGCTTGAACCGGCTAAGAACACACAAATTTAAATTTATAAAAAATAATATTAATTTTAATATTTTATTTATTTAAATTTATCTTATAAAAATTTTAAAATAAATTTGATATAGATATTATTTTACTTTCTTTTAAAATTTGGTTTGATTTAAAATAGATAGGTTTGAGCATAGTAGCAACCAAAATCGGTAAAATTGACCAATAAGTTAGGCTGGTAAAAATTTGATCCATTAGGTTAATTTTAAAATTAATTTGAAATCTACAACAAATATTATAATTCAAGATAAACTCGTCATACTCACATAATATACTCACATAATGAATTTACTCAAATAATATTTTTTATTCAAACTTGTCATGTCAAGATGATAAATTCTAAAAAATATAATTTTTATTAGAATTTTATTATAAAGCGATAAGTGTCAATAAAAATATATTTCATTGGGGTGACATAAGCATCACAAGTTTTAAAGATATTGTAGTTCCTAAAATAAAATATTTGATGCTATATTGGGCTAAATAATTAGCCCGCCTACGATATTAGGCCAATTTTGTCATCAAAATCAGCTTCTCCATTAAGCAAAAAGCCCAAAGGGTTCTGACTGCCAATATCTCAAAACAAAGCAAATTTACGACATCACAACACAGATCATGAAATATGTAAACAAAACTAGATATATCAAATGCATTTCTTATGCCAATATACCATGTCTATATAAAATGATGCCATGAACATGGAGGAATGATGCAGCTCTAGTCCCACCCACTCGCAACGACCGATCCGTAACCATATGGCGGAGCAGCAGCATTTAGGTTCATGTCACTGGCAACCCAATGATCGTCACCACCGCTGCCAAGGAAAGTTGGAGCATATTGACCATCAATGGCAGGAACAGCATAAGTATCATTGTAAGTGCTTGAAGATGCAATGTCTTTTCGTAAGTCATAACCGCCATAATCAACTCCACGGTGTCTAACCCAACCGCTGCGACCGCTAGCAGAGTAATTCTCAGCATTTTGGATTAACCAAGTCGGGACTTCCTGGCTGGATTCCTTCATTACTTCGGCCAATGACTTTGCAAGATGCAAGTTCTTGTCACTGAAGAAAGCGGTAGCCAGACCAAATTTTCCAGCACGGCCAGTTCGACCTATCCGGTGCACATAATCATCTATGTTTTTCGGCATGTCAAAGTTAATAACGTGAGCAACATGAGGGATATCAAGTCCTCGTGAAGCAACATCTGTGGCAACTAGTATTGGAGTAGCACCACTTTTAAAGGATCTCAGAGCTTGCTCTCTTTCCTACAAATTTTACAAAGTAAACAAATACAGACTCAAATTACTTCTCGCATAATTGATTTTATTCTTCTGCCTCAAAATGTAGACTCTAGCAACACCAAGAACATTATTTTTTTTCTGATTGAGATGACTGCATGAGTAACATATTATGTTTAGGTATTTTAAAGATGGCAATATCAAGACTAATAAAGTGGAAAATATGATATGAAGCTAACCATCTGCACTTTGTCACCATGCATTGCAATTGCTGAAAACCCATTCCTTGACAACCAGCGTTCCAACTTATCTGCACCTCTCTTTGTCTCCACGAAAACTAGAGTTAAAGCATGCTGCAAAACATCAAATATTATCTCTTTATCAGCAAGTTTATAGGAATCCAGTGATGGCATAGCTCTAAAGCCTGAATAAGGATATCCACTGGAACCCCAATGATACTGAATATGTAGTTCAGTTTCCCGCAAATTGTAACGGCAGCTAGAAACACTCGACTGCAAAATAGAACACCAATTAAATTGGACAACGTTAATTGTACCTTACTATGGGGAGTTCCATTGGACCTTTGAGTACGGAGAAGATTCAAAAGATGGTTTCTTTTGTCCATCTCTTGAACCAGTTCCACTCTTTGGACAATCAAATCAGTGCTTGAACCAACCCTTCCAACAGCCAGAAATACATAGTCCAAAAGGAAATCCGAAGCAAATCTCTGCAGCATAATAAAATCATGAAGTTTAAAGGACCAAAAAGAACATTGAAATGAAGTTTGCAATGAACATCAAAAACATAGGAGTTAGGCTAAAGCAGACCAAAGATGCATTTATCAGCATGTCAAACGCAGGTATTATCATATATTCATTTCACATATCTGAAAGGAATGGGATCATATCTCCATTCCGACATCAAGATTGCATCGAGATTATTATGTATCATATATTCAATCTTTTTCAAGATTTCAATGTACTAGGAAAGTCATCTCCATGCTCACATCCAGATATGAGCTAACAAAGGATAATGCAAAATGAAGCATAGGATTGAAACCTGAATCTCATCTGGAAATGTGGCACTGAAAAGCATTGTCTGCCTTGTACCAGGTGGAGGCATGTCCATTTGCTCGACAATCCTGCGAATCTGAGGCTCAAAACCCATATCCAACATTCGATCAGCCTCATCCAGAGCCAAATATTTTATCATTCCAAGTGAAACTTTTGCTCTCTCAATCATATCCACCAACCGTCCGGGAGTAGCAACTAAGATGTCAACACCTCTTTCTAAGCGGCGCAACTGAAACAAAATATACACACATATTAAACTATAGCATTCAATTGCAATCGTAATTTTCAAGGTATCAAGAAAGGGCCACCTGGTGATAAATAGAAGTGCCTCCATAAGCAACAGCAATTTGAACCCGAGTCATATAAGCAAACTTCTTAGCCTCTTCGTATATCTAACAATCACCATTAACAACCCAAATCAAACAATAATAGAATAATATAATATTTCACCAACTCCAAGAGAGCAAGAGCAAAAGCAAAAAGAAAGGGTCACCTGACAAGACAACTCTCTGGTAGGAGCCAAAATAAGGGCAAGAGGGCACGCCACCTCACTTCCACCACCAACACGGCGAGTTACTGACAATGAGTCCTTTAAAACCCCAGAAATGATGGGAAAACAGAAGGCGGCCGTTTTGCCCGACCCGGTTTGAGCGCAAGCCATCAAATCCCGACCGGCAACTGCTATGGGAATGGCGTGGCGTTGGATTGGAGTTGGCTTAATATAGTTGCACCTCCTTATGTTTTGCTTTAAACCATCCCCCAAATCGATCTCAGAAAAGGTCTTCACCGGCGGCGGTATGTTGTCGCCGCTTGCTTGTACCGGAATGTCATCATAAGCTTCGAGATTGTTGGTTACGTTTGCTTCTTCTAATGTGTCATCAACAACTTCCAGCTCGTCGAACTTTTCATCTTCCCAGTTTGGATTGCGGCGAGCGGTTAACCAGGGTCCACGGCCGCGGGTGGATTGAGCAAGTTGTGGTGAGTAGAAGCGTGGGCGAGTTAACTCAGGGGCACCGGTTTCAAGAAAGGAAGCATTGCCAATTTGAGGTGATCTCATGTGAGGAGGTAGGTACCGGGGTCTAGTTGGGCGAGTTGTTTTCCTAGTTGACTCAGAAAACATACCAGTCCAAGTCATTCTGTTTTTTTTTCTGCTTTAGCTTTTTACCTCCCAACTGTAAGCTTAAAGAAACAAAACCCAAGCAAAGAAAGAAAGAAAGAACGATCAAAGAAAATCAAAACGCTGGGAAATATGATGAAACGAAATGGGTTTTCTAGATTTGATGAGTCTTTGACAAATAAAAAAAACGAAGAGACTTTTACTATAAATATAGTACAGAAGAATAAAAAAAAAGATGATAATGTTTCCTTCCCGACGAAGTAAACAAAAAGAAAGAATGGTTTTGATCAAAGAAGAAGTCTGTCCATTCTCCACGGTTTTGAAGAGGGAAAATGGGGGATTTAAGAAAGGACGACGAGTGGGTTTTAGCGTTTCAGTTACGTTGAGAAGGAAAGGTCGGAGTGCTTTTGAAGCTTTTTTTTTTTGGTGAAATGAAATATCTATGGAGGCTGATCACGTTTCGAGACTGTATAGGTTGATAGTTTTTTGCTAACTTTCCTGTATTTCATTTATTAAACTTCTAAATGGATTTTCAGTCCTCTAAGTTAGTTTTTAACTATTAGTAGTTCCAAATTAATAATTTCTACCTTAAAAAAAGTTATTCAAGTTATTTTATTTCAGAAAAATATTTTTTAAACAAATAAGAGAGAAAATATTTAAAATTATAATAAAATTTGAAAATTAAACAGATAAGGAAAATGTTAATTTTTTTATACCTATTGATATAATAAATTAATCATTTGATATCATATAATGATCATACAAGGAAAATGTTAAAATCTATTCAAAAATTCGAACAAAAGATAACTATAAACAAAACTGATTATATCGACAAATAAATCATAATAAGATATTAAACTATCATAAGACCATCAACAATCACAAATCATAATTGATTATCGTGCGAAAATCATCTACGAACACAAATCTCATATCCAGTTCAATCTAACTCTAAAAAATAAAATAAAATAAATGATCAAATGACTGAGAGTGTATCATAAAAACAAAAAAACATACTATAAAGATAAAATTATTAAAAATTAAAAAGGAAAAGAAAATTAAATATATAAAAATAAAAAATAAATAATGATGACATACTAAAGTTGAATATATATATATATATATTGTAAAAATTATCAAAAAATAATAAATTTGTTATCAAATTAGATTTACTTGATCTAAGTCTTAATGTCAATTGATTCTTTATTTTAATAAAAATATTGTTATTATCCACAAGTTTAATTTAGTTATATTACTTGGATTTTTATTACAGCTTTTATTAAGAGAAGAGGTATCATATTTTTTAAAACGAATATTAAGATTTGAATTAAATAAAATGATATAATATAAATATAATTGATTATTAGTAGGTTGTATCAGTGAAGTTATGGGCGATAATCAGTTCGCTTTCTTATAAGGTAAACAGATAGCAAATTATTCTTTGATTGCGAATAAAATCATAAATGATCTAAAACGCAACAAAAGAAAAACGCTCATTTTCAAAGTTAGATTTTAAAAACCCCTATAGTGGGGTTAGGTTGGATGGAATCCCTTAGAATTTGGGAGAATTGAATTTAATTTCACCATTTTCCCATGTTTAATTCAAGTTTTTCAAGGGAATTGAAATCCCTCAAGGCTTCAACTTTCCATCAAATGAGGGAAAGTGAATTTCATCCAAGAATAGATAGAATTTAATTCCCTTGTTAGAGGGTCTTGAAATTTGATCATACTACCTTCATCAATCTTTTGGTAACTTATTTATATATTGAATAAAAATATTTTTTATTATTTCGGGTGGGTTTCTAATTCATATATTCGGGTCGGGTCGGGTGAAACTTTATTTTGGTTGGGTCGGGTCGAGTTCGGGTTTAGGGTGAAAAATACCCGACCCAAAAATATATATAATTTTACCTTATATATTTAGGAATAATTACAATAATACCCCTCTCTATATATATTTTTTCAATTAAGTCACGTTTTTATTGAATAAAAATAATTTTTTATTATTTCGGGTCGGGTCGGGTCAGATTTCTAATTCATATATTTCGGTCGGGTCGGGTGAAACTTTATTTTGTTTGGGTCGGGTCGGTTTTTTTAAGTGTGATATTCGGGTCGAGTCGGGTTTTTTTAAGTGCGATATTCGGGTCGGGTCGGGTTTGGGTTTAGGGTGAAAAAAACCGGACCGACCAGAAAAAAATATATAATTTTACCTTATATATTTAGGAATAATTACAATAATACCCCTCTATATATAATTTTTTCAATTAAGTCAATGTTTTTATTGAATAAAAATATTTTTTTTATTATTTTGTGTCGTGTCGGGTCGGATTTCTAATTCATATATTGAATAAAAATAGTTTTTGGTATATATGGTAACTAATTAACATACTACGATTGGAATGTATCGAAATATTGCTCTATCTTTTGGTAACTTATTAACATATTTTGATTGCGATGATTTTAACTTATGATGTTTATTAACTGTAGACACCAATTTTCTTAAAAGATAGAGCTAGTAAGAGTTCCTCTCCTAAGATGACTCTTCCACCACCATATCTTTTAAAGCAACAACCACACCAACAAACGTGCAACAACCGAGCAAGGAGTCTAGTTTCATTAGGATTCTATTGTTAGTTAGTTTTTTTTCACTATAAATACATGTAATCCTCCCTATTTGTAACGGACGATATACGAAATAAACAGCAAAATTACTAGCAAATCGAAGCAAAAAAGGTGATTCTCGAAGAGGAAAATAAGTAGAAAAGGTAAAAGCTTGTACCTTTATCGCTTTAAGTCTTTGCATGTGTGTTTCTCCATTATTTTTGCTCGAGTCAAACTCAAATAAAATCATTTTTGGCCGATGAACGGGAAGGTTTTTTAAAGATCTATCTTGTAGATCTAGTAATCTCGAGGTCTGATCTTAGAAAATTATTTGGATTTTCGAAAAATAGAGAAGAAAAGCTTAAAGTTAAAACATTCATTTCGGCCCCCTAATGCGCAATATCAACGTTAATTGTCTTTCAAATTTGACCCCAATTTTAGCTTTTCTTTTATAACAGTCCTTTGTTTTTACATGCATATTTTTTATTATTCTTATTATATATATATATATATATATATATATATATATATATATATATATATATATTCATTTGGCTATTTTTTATATTTTCTATATTCTATCGTTATTTATATATATATATCGTTATTTATATATATAGATATATTTACTTTTAATTCTTTTTCATATATCATTATTATTTATATATATTTTTATTACTATAATTATATGTTATATATATTTATTATTTTATATATTTCATTTTATCTTTTATTTTTTTATCTTCTATTTTTATTTTTGTATTGTTATTGTTATTATCTTCTTTATTTTATGTATTTTATTTATATATATATTTTTTATATTTGTTTTGTGCCTCTTTATTTTATTTTATTTATCTTGCTTACATCTTCTTTATCTGTTTTATTTTCTCTACTTTATTGCATTTATTTTTATTTCACCTTCTTTATTTTATTCATTTTTACTTCATTTTTATCTAACATGTTTCTTGACTTCCTAAAGGGTACACTTTTAAAACTATCAAGGGTAAGTATTTGGGATCGTTATTTACCTTTCAAGTTAAACTTTCAATTTTCTTAATTAAAGATAATTGAAAATTACATAGTACCGAAAGGGCAGTTCAAGGGTGCTAACCCTTCCTTGACTGTAACCGACTCCCGAATCCGACACATCTTTGGTACGACGCAGATCAGGTAATAAATAAGGTATCCGATCAACCCATTTTTCATAAAATAAATGATTGGTGGCGACTCCCAACCCAATTATTTCAAGTCGAAGCCCAATTTGGGGCACAATTCGGGGCCCAACCGAAAAACGGTTACGACAGCTTGGCGACTCCACTGGGAAAGGTAAGTGAGTTAGGCTAAGGTAATTTCCAGTTGTCTTTTTAACGAAAAGGGTAAGTTTAAATTTTAAGGTAACATTTTGATCCTTTTTTACTTACTTTTGATTATATTTTCGGGTAAATAGTTGTACTAATTGTTTTCTCGTGATTTCAACCTTCAAATCTTTTTCATTTAAGGCTCTATACTCGAGCTCCAAACCCTGTCTTAAGTGGGGGTAAAAGCGACGCCTTCGTGTGAATTTATTCACCGTGCGGGCATAAGGGAATGTGTCCTCTCGAGTTTAACTTAGTCCACACAAGCATGTGATGGGTTTAGGACTAAGGGTTTGGCAAGCCCAAGGGGGCACCAGCAAGGAGAACTCGGGTACCATTTTTAGAACCTAAACCGGGAAACAATGGAGAATTATATCCTACCCCGAAACACATTCCAAAACCTAGGATATTTTTACCCTAACCATTTTCTTTTTTGTGTTTTTTTCTTTCGTCATTTTTTTATTTTTTTATTTTACTAATCCTTTTGCCTTTGTGTTTGTTTTCTAGCATTTGCATCATAACAAGAGCTTATTGATCCTTAAAAAACGTTTGTTAAACACAAAATAAATCTGAATTAATGGACAAAGGTGTTGTAATACAAGAGATTAAAAACGTTGAGGCACGACTATGGTCCGAGAAGACTCCGAAAGAGAAGGGAGACATTCTTCAGGGAAATTATGTGTCAGAGCTTGTTAGTTACGCATCTGTCAGCCTGAAACAAAACGATGTCCAAGAACAGCGAAATATTTGGGAAAGTTGGGGGAATGACAGAAAGCAGAAGTTCAGCCAATGATATGGTGATATTGCCCTCTTACTCCATGTCAAGACTGATGAGCCCCTGCTCCGAGCATTAATTCAATTATGGAACCCGGGATATAGTTGTTTCACCTTTAACCAGGAGGACATGGTGCCCACAATTGAAGAGTATACTACCCTACTGCACTGCGAAAATATCAGACTAGAGAGGGCATATATCAAACACATCAAGAGTCAGCCTTTCAAGAACGTACTAGCTAAGATTGCAGGGGTTGATGAAAAATGGGTGACTGATCGACTTCGACACAAAGGTAACGGGGAAGGAGTCGAGTGGATTCACATAAGGCAACTAATGAAGAACCACCTGTTAGAGTATGCCCAAATACCAATCCTACGATGATTGTAATAATACTTTTATTTACCGATTTTATTGAATAAAGGCATTGCCGCTAT